CTGTATAATATTGCAGAAAGGCAAAAATGTATTCAGGGGTTTGACCATGTAAAGCTCTATAAGTAAGCACCAAAATTTTGAACTTAATTCTAAACTCAACAGGAAGCCAATGTAGGGAAAATAAAATGGGAGTGATATGTGCCCTGCGGTTGGCACGAGTTACAAGCCTTGCGGCTGCATTTTGCACAGACTGAAGCCGGGCAACGGAGGACTTGTTCAAACCCGTGAATAACGCATTGCAATAATCAAGTCGTGAAGAAATGAAAGCGTGAACAAGCATCTCCAATTCAGATCTTGAGACGACAGACCTCAATTTAGACAGATTTCTTAAATGAAAGAAACAAGACCGACTGACAGACCTGACATGGGAGTCCAAACTTAGACACTGGTCCATAATAACCCCCAAATTTCGTAGGCTCAACTTGGCGGCTGGAAATACAGAGGCCATCTTGAGCCCAATCTCAGAGTAAAGGACAGGTGGAGCAACAATTAGGACCTTAGTCTTGCCAGAATTCAACTTCAGGTAATTATTGCAGAGCCAGTTGTTAATCTTGGTCAAGCAGTCTACTAAAATGGACAATTTATGAATCTGATTAGGTTTGAAAGAAATATACAGCTGAATGTCATCTGCATAAAAGTGATAGGAAACCCCTTTAAAAGCTTTAATAATATTAGACAATGGATTAATGTATAACGAAAACAACAATGGTCCAAGAACTGAACCCTGCGGCACCCCGCAAGAAAGAGGAGCAGTAACTGAATTAAAATCACCAACACCAACTGAAATACTCCTATTGCTCAGATAGGAGTAAAACCAGTCAAGCACAGAACCAGAGACCCCCACAGACTTCCCTAACCTATCAATTAAAATCTGATGATCCACTGTATCGAATGCAGAACTAAGATCTAATAACAGAAGAACCGAACACTCCCCTACGTCAGCAGCCATCAAAAGCTCAGTAAACACTTTAAGCAAAGCTGTTTCTGTAGAGTGTTGTTTCCGAAAACCAGACTGAAAAGAATCCAAAAAATGATGTTCTTCTAGAAAAGACCTGAGTTGACGCTCAACGACTTTTTCTAAAATTTTGGCAATGAAAGGCAGTTTAGAGATTGGCCTATAATTGCTCAGTATAGAGGGATCCAAGTTTGCTTTCTTCAGCAACGGTTGAATTACAGCATGCTTATAATATGATGGAACAATACCAGACTGCAATGAGCAATTTATAATGTTTAGAACATAAGGACTTATGGAATTAAAGGCTTTTAACAGTATTGGTGGGGGCAACGGATCAGATGGGCATGACGAAGGATTGCTGATTATAGCTGTCAGTTCAAAGTGAGACCGGCAGAAACCTGTGAAAAGTTTTCAACGATGAACCGATATAATGAAATGAAAGAGGGGCTGGGACGATAGTAGACCTAATATCATCAATCTTACTAATAAAATGATTAAGTAAAGTATCACAATCACTATTAGAAAAAACCTGGGTATTAGCAGGAACTACTGAAACAATTCTGTGAATGGTGTCAAACAACACTTTAGGATTTCGCCTATTATTTAAAATAAGATCAGAAAAAAAGGCTGTTCTTGAATCCTTAACCGCAGAGTTAAAAGTAAAGAGCAAAGAGCTTCTATCATGCAGTGTGAAAACATATGATGTAATACAGACATGTTTGGAATATTTTCTCCATATTTTGAAATCTTGGTCAACAGAATTCTGATGGCTACAGTTGTGTTGGTGTTTGTTTTAGAAAGCTGTGCTTTCAGTTTGTCCCAGAAAAAAGGTCTCTGTGTCTTAATGCTAAGTCTGAGTTCAAATGGTAAAAAAAATAGTCATACATTTCATTATAATGCAGTCATATTATTTGTCATTCCAATGTGGTCACTTAATCTTCTGTCATAGTTTAACCTGCTCAACTGCTGGTTGCTTGTGCTGGAAAGATTTCTTTCAACTTTAAGAACATACTTATGTTCATCCTTGGTGGAATGGACCAGGTGCTTTTTCCACATTGATGCATTTGGGGTGTTGGAGAACAAACTTTTAGTCTGAAGTTGATAGAGTTCCATCTAGAGCCATCATTGATGCAGACTGCAAGAGTGAGATATAGCATTGTGGTTCAGTGTAGAAACTCTGAGCCTAAATGGGGAAATTCCAGTAGAGATTTGCAGTTGTACCCTTGAGCAACACTTAAGTAAAATGCTTTATATATTGGTTAAAGTGAGTGTTGCTTTGCGTGTAAGTATAGCCTTAGCAACCAAAAACCAAACGGGTGACTGGAAAGGAACTTGAGGTCTTTCCTGCTTCACTGGGTCTTAGGTAATGTTCTGTCTATCTTGGAGTTTTTAACATTGCAACATTGTGCACGCTGTTGTCATTTATTAAAAGAAATAAAATTATAAATTGCTTTTGACACACAGTAAAGTCAAGTTTCTCACTTCCTCTGGGGCTTTATCTGTCTGTGTCTGTCTGTCTACAAGACCCTCGATACCAAAGACCTCACCATCACCAAGGTAATAGCCAACGGTCAGGTGGCCAGCTTCAGTGTGGGAACCAAGCACAGCTTCAATGGGACTCCTCTTGAGATACAACTGCCCTTGGAACTATTCCGGTAAAGACCAATAAGTGCTCCTCTCCACTGGACTTTCAGGCAGGCAGGCAGCACATGCTGATACATTGCTGTCACTGCTATATCAACATTCAGAGTTTTTATGCCTAATATGAATTATTTACTTTATTTGAAGTGGTGTTTTTGGGTAGTGCTTTGGAATAGTTAGAGAATTGTTAAGGATGTTGATTTTACAGTGAAGTTTCCTCTCTTTTTAATCCTGCTGACTTAACTTTTATTATGTCTACTGTTATCCGAAGGGGGCAACATGTGATTGTGGAGGTGACATATGAAACGTCTCCCAGGGCCTCTTCGCTGCAGTGGCTTACCCCCGAACAGACTGCTGGCAAGAAACAGCCCTATCTGTTCAGCCAATGTCAGGTATCCCAGAATGCATCTCTCATATAAATATCCCATTTGTCTGGGCTTCATGTGTTCATGTGATCGGATTGGTTTATAAATGGAGGAAATTGTCATTGCCCATAATGCATCTTCTTGCTCCTTTACTTATTCATGGATAGTCCTCATAAAGAGTGGAAAAAAATGTGAGCAATTTTAATCTTAAATCTTCTTAGCACATGTCTTAGGAAGTGACATTTTAAAGATGGTGATGTATAGATGGTGTTAATTCCTCTTTATAAACTGAAACTAGAAATACAGAAAATTGAAAAACCTAAGACCTGAAATCTCCAAAGTCTGAAAGAGGTGTCCCTGCCCCTCTTCCATCCACCCAGCTGGCCCCATTTGAAACCCTATCATGTTAGTTGGTCCAGTTGGGATTAGCTGGTGATCAGCCTAAGAAGACACACACGTGATTCAGCTACATGTCACTTTTATGTCTCCCACTAGGTCAAGCACTTCACAGAAATTGTAACAGGGAATAGTAATATGCATGGAATTGGTGTCGTTAGGCCTATTTTAGAGGCTAAAATAGATACAACTGCCCTTGTGAATCATGAATAACTCTTTATATTATATATGTTTGCCATTGGCCAACCCCTAGTAAAGACTCAGCTCCTCTGTCCATTCACCTCTTACTATGGCTCTGCACAGGACATATAGCCATGCAAATACAGCGTTCACAATGAAACTTACAAGGAGTCTGAATACTTTCTGTTTTTGCACTATATGGTCAAATTATCCAGACACCCCTTCTGATGTAATTGGCTAATTAAGTCGTGCTCATTGCTGACATGTGTATAATTAATTAATGCAATGGTCAGTAACAGACACTGCCAGCAGAATGTGTCAGTGATTTTCAAAGTGATGCCTTCTCCTTCCAGTTCGTCAAATTTCCAAAGCTGCTCTAGTCAGCTGTAAGCAAGTGGCAGTAAATTGCAGTGTATTAGACCTCACAGACTCTCAGGATTGAGTTACCGAATGCTCGAATGGTGCATTGCATAAATGGCACTGTCACGCCCAGCTCGTCCGATCCTCGTGTGTGCCACGCCCCCTCATCATCCACGTGTGCTTCCTCGATTGTGCCCAGCTGTTCCCTGTTATTTCAGCTTGTTTCATGTATATTAGTCCATGTCTTCCTTAGTTGGGTGTCCGTCACTGATGTGATGTGCGTCGCTGTCTTCCCCGTCTCCCCAAATAAACCCTCGTTTCCCGCTATCCTGCCTGCTCGACCGCCGCGATCGTGACAGGAACCTTGTTGGAACATCACTTCTGTGCTCTGCACTATAAAAATTATATGTCAAGAGCTTAACAATGTAGGTGTCGGCTCAAACAGTGTAAAGTAATGCAGACTGTCAAAGTTTGGTGGAGGAGAAATCATTTGGTTTTTGTTTTTCATTGGCTAAGTGAACCTTAAAGCTGTAGCATACAAAAGAACTCTTGACAATACAGTGCTTCCTACCTTTTGGAAACAGTTTGGGGAACAACCTTTCTTTTTACAGTTTGATAATACCTCCGTGGACAAACTGAGGTCCATAAAGTGGTGGCTTCTTGTGAAGGCAGTGGAAAGACTTGATTGACCGTACTAGTTATCTAATATCAAATTTTCTAATGTTTTTATTTATCTCCCACCGTTAATGCTGATGGGCTTATTCCCTATGTTTGCTTCCTCCTATTGGCTCATACACTAGGCAACTCACTGCAGGTCCATGATTCCATGTCAGGATGGCCCATCGGTGAAGCACACGTACTATGCACAGGTAACCTCGCAATGCTTTTCATAATTAAAACATCTTTCCCCTTCCTACATCCAGCCTAAACAGCCAGGACATTTTGTGATAAGCACTGTTTGCTCAGTGGTGTAATTGATTTCATTCTGGCAACCAGGAAAGGAATTCTGAAACAAAGGTTTTCGCTCTTGCCAACATGTGTCAGCAGATGCCCTTCAGCAGGAAGTCGTCTTTTTTTCTTTTCTTTTCACACTATTCTTTTACTTTCACACTTTTTTTTTTTTTTTTTTTACCCAAGGCAGCTGATGATCATCAAGAAAGGGGGGAGGTTTATGTGTCCCACTCGCTGTCTGGTTGCTGTCTGATCCTTCTCGCAGACACTCGCTTCCCCTGTACCAGGCTGAACCCCCTGGAACTTGTATAGATTTGTATGTGAGTTAAGGTTAAGGTTGTCATAGGGTTTTTAGGGTTCTTCCCCTAGAAAGGAATGAAGGGTCTCCACAAAGTTATGAATAAAAACACGTGTGTGTGTGTGTGTGTGTGTGTACAGGTGTCTGTCCCTAAGGAGCTGGTGGCAGTGATGGGTGCACTGCATGATGGACAGGAGGCTGACCCCCAGGACAACAGCAGGACAATCTATCGCTTCAGGCAGACCGTATGACCCCCCTCCCCCACCAATTTTTAACCTATATCAGAAATGACTTATAGGACATATAAATGTACGCACATCAGGCAAGTGCATTTTTTGCTGGATTTTGCTGAAGTTGTACTCAGTGAAGGATAAAACTGACTTTTTCACTCATAGTAGTGCTGACCTTTGGTGGGGCCCTGTAATAAAGGCACCATTTGCAGAGATCCTTCACACACAGTTATTTTTGTTCTTCCTCATACTGTATTGTACCATAAGACCACCCCTCCTCCTGACCACATTTATATTACTTAAAAAACAGCTTCAGAGCCTGTTCTGTGAAAACAAACCCCGCATTATTCACTCTTGATGCCTCCCTGCTCACTTCCTCAGCATCCCTCAGCATCCCTCAGCATCCCTCAGCATCCCACTTGGTGATGCTGCAAAATATAAAAACTAATAAGCAGTTAGCCCAGTGAAGCTGGGGATTGATGATTAAGGGAGATTAATTATTAGTATAGTTAAAATACACATGTTGCAAATTCAGAGGTTTATCTAATGAATCCAATTCATGTATATTATTCAGCTGTTTTTTTGGTGAGTTTTTTGTTATTTTCTTTGTTTGCTGTGTTTAGTTATTCCCGGGATAGAAAAAAAGCTGCTCGAAGACATTTTCTTCTCTGATCCGTTTCCCTGTCTGTTTTTCACTGCTTTTGTCTGTAGGATTAGGTCATGTCATTTGTCTTGTACTCACACAGGTTCCCATACCTTCATACCTAATTGCCCTCGTGGTTGGAGCAGTGGAAAGCAGGTATCCTCCCCACCCCTGACCGTGTTAAACGCACCTCAATGTGACTCTAAATGTGCTGTCAGCAGAGTCTTTTTAGCCATAGATGGCTTTTCGTGTTTAAAGTGAAATGTCAGTAGATACAGGGAGTGTTGCTGAGACCTGGGGCTGGCACTGGTATGAATGCCCTCTGTGACTGTGTGTCCCTCTGCCAGCAGGGTGATGTGTTTGTCCCCTGTCAGTGACAGGTCGATACATATTGGGCAATTCAGTTTCTGCTAATTGTATAAAAATGTGATATATAGAATGAACTATAATATATTTCTCTCTCTTACGTTATGCCATTTAATCCTCTGTTTTCTTATTACTTTCTTTCTTATTTCTTTTATAAACATTTTAATATACCAGTCATCATTAGTACAGCTTGGTCATGCTACACCTGCATGACCTGTGTCCTCTGACCTTTCACTTGGTACAGTTCCCAGTTTCAGGCCTGCTCTGTGTGTCACGCAGGGAAATTGGGCCCAGGTCCCGGGTGTGGTCCGAGAAAGAGCTGGTGGACCAAGCAGCCTATGAGTTTGCCGAGGTAGGTGGAAAAGCAGACGCCATTACTGCAGGCAGGCCAAGTTGTGTATGTTGATTTGCCGTCTGTGCACTTTTGGTATAATGGTGGGCTGTCTGTGTGAGTGAGTTTTAGTTAGAGTGAAAATAAAGGGGTAATATATTGACATTTTAACATCTGAATGATCAGTGTCTCAAAAACACAGCAACGCCTCTTGTGATAGTTTTACCTCAAAGGTCCGGGGTTTGTGCAGAGGTGCTGCCATGTTGAATGTTACTCCCAAAAGTGAAGACATTTTTCAATAACAGTCATCTCTGGACAGAGATGTTAATCATAATTTATGGTCATTTAAAGCTACAGCCCTTTTGTTTTGGAGTATTCATTTGAGTGTGTGACTCTCTCAGACAGAGACCATGCTGAAGACTGCTGAGAACCTCGTAGGCCCCTACGTGTGGGGGCAGTACGATATCCTGCTTCTTCCCCCCTCCTTTCCCTATGCGGGCATGGAAAACCCTTGCCTGACATATACCACGCCCACTCTGCTGGTGAGAACCCCCCCAGCGCCCCGAATGTCATATCTACTCTACCTCTGTGCACCTCAACCTCAGCAAACTGTACAAGTCATCTTGAGTGACCAGTACCGGAAAACTTCACAACTCACCTGTGCAACAGGTCTAAGCACCAGGGTAAACTGACATTCTATGCTCTTAAGGCTTTTTCTTCTGCTGTCTTTCAGGCTGGGGACAGGTCTTTGGCTGGGGTAAGCTGCAGATGTCCTTTGTCTCATTTCTCTGGTATGTAAGTCACCTACTTGTGTTTCAAGTGTCTTTGGCTGTCTGCATTACCCTCTGCAGGTAATTGCCCATGAGATCTCCCACAGCTGGACTGGAAACCTGGTCACTATCAAGAACTGGGAGCACTTTTGGTATATCTGAGACGTGCCATCAATGCTGCCGACACATCAAACCGTTGTTGTGTTGTGCTTTCATTGGGCTGCAAGTTTTGCATGAAGCAGAGTCTTGTGACTGTGCCTGGTCATCTGATTAGCCAGTTTATTTTAATTGATCATTGACCTCGGAGAAGATCCCCATAATGAGAATGTAATATGTCAAGGCTAAGATGAAGATACTGGTGAACACTAGAGCTGTCACGATTACTCAATCAAAACTTGATTACAAAAAAAACATTGATTTAAAATTTACCTTCTCAGTTACTCATCAATATGGCAGAAAGGAGGCCGTGCCTAGTAGATGAAACTGAAAATTAAGAATGAAAGCCAACAGTTGTGTTGAAACACTTGTCTTATCATTCACTTTTAATGTTAATTGTCTTTCAGTATTGAAAAGCAGAACTTAAACATCACCACAGCATGACTGCAATGCAAATACATTTTAAAGACAACTTTTGGGTTTGATGGACTTACCCAATAATGAGTGGTTATCCATAGATACATGAAATTTAGCCTCTTGGAGTAGCCTAGCCTGTTTTATATAACGTTGATTTTAAATTAGTTTACTTAATTTACTTACAATTTACATACGATTCCTCTATGTCAAAATATTAATCATCTCTGCTGAAACAAAAGTTAGCCCTGTTATTTAGCTATTATTTGATTTTTTTGAGAGTTGAAAATTATTGAAAACTATATTGCCAAATAGAACAGATCTACCAACAAAGCTGTCAAATAAGTCGGTGGTATTGTCAGTTGCGACCACCGTCACAAAGCAGTGCTGATAATCACTTGCTTTTGCTCAAAATCCTCTCTATGAACTACAAAATATTTCTATATAGCGGAAGACGAATGTCTTTTCGTGACTGGTTCTTGTTCACTTTTCTCCTCTTTGTTCATTTCTGTTTAATTTCCCACAAACATGCCACACAATCTATGAGTCAAACAGCAAGGACAAGAATGATTATGATCCTCAGAGCATGCATGCAGAGCTCATGCAAAAGCAGTAAACTTTAGACAGATTTTTAATACATACTAAATCATTTTGCAAACTGCAAGGCTTGCTAAATTTTGTTTTCCGTTACTGAATAATTTTTTTTTAACACCACATGAACCCAACAGACTATTGCGGTCCTTGCAATGTGGACAATTGCATGTGCATCAAATGCCATGTTGATATTAACTTCATACATTGTGCAAGCCTATTAGGGTTATTTGCACTGTCACTGCACACTGCCGCATTGCGTGTGTGTGTAGTTTGCATATTCACCCTTTTCTGGCTTTTTGATTCTCTGGATTACTTCCACTGTCCAGAAACATGCAACCTAAATGCCTTAAATTAACCGTATGAGTGACGCTGCAATAGTTCATAGGATCCTACCTTGTGCAAATGCGATGTATCTATGATATATGTGATATATGATATATATGATATGATATGATATGATACGACAAGTACGATTACTCGATGAATCGTCAGATTAATCTGTAGATTACACGATTATTCATGTAAACGATAGTGACAGCCCTAGTGAACACCCAAGGATAATGTTGTGGGTCACATTACGATGCTGTTAGACTTGTTCACCTCAGAGCTAGTTTTTTATTTGAATTTTTGTCAGTGTTGTGATGTTAAAGACCATCTTTAACAAATTGAGTGAAGACCAAGTCCATTGGGGGGACGAGAGACGAGACTGAGTCCATTACTGGAGTTGGGTATAGCTGAGTCTGAGTCCAGAAGAACACAAGTTCAATTCTAGATCATGAACAAAAACTATAAACTGAAGACAAATACCTCAGTTTTTTACTTGTGAATATTTATTTTAAAGGACCACCAACTAAGAAATATAAATTTTCAACTAAAAAAATTAATGATTTGTCAAACACAAAGGTAACAGAAACACATCACTGCATCCTGTATTAAATTCTGTGTAACATGACACATTTAAACAAGCAATTTTAAACATGACTACTCCAGGGGTGCTGAAAACTGACTGGTACCTTATTACATGAAACAGATCATGTCATTCTCATGTTCCCCTCTTCCTGACAGGCTGAATGAAGGTCACACAGTGTATCTGGAGAGGATGATTGCCAGGTGCCTGGAGAGCGAACAGTTCAGGCAGTTCAAGGCCATTGGGGGGTGGAAAGAAATGCAGGAAGCGGTGAGACCTCCATGGGCAAGGCCCAGAGAGACCTCTGCTGAGCGGCTCCCATTGGGGGGGGGATACTGTAAACAACACACAGGAACCCACAGAGACATTTAAAGCTCTTGATAGCTGTAGTCACTTTAAAATATCTTTAGTCATTGTTTGTGGGGTGCCAAATAAGAATTATATATGTGTCCCACAGGTGAATATGTTTGGAGAGACAAACCCCCTTACCAACTTGGTTCCATGTCTGAATGAGGTGGACACTGATCAGGCCTTCTCCTGCATCCCATATGAAAAGGGCTTCGCGTTCCTATACCACCTGGAAGAACTTTTGGGTGGTCCAGGTAAAGCCCACCTCCCACTACTTAGATACACATACACCCACAGAACCCCCACAACCCTTCCGCTCTCTCACATATAGCACATATTTCACTTTACACCTCTTCATACTTCTGTCTTACTATTACATTTGGATGAACAAGTTTGAGGAGATCAGGTTAACAATGATTGTGTCCATGTCACATGATCCGATACCTTGTCTTGGTGATTTTTTTATTTTTCTCACCCACAGAGGTCTTTATGGGGTTCATCAAGTCCTACATTCAGCTGTTTGCGTATTCCAGCATTAGCACTGATGAGTGGAAGGACCACTTGTACACCTACTTCAAGGATAAGGTAAGTTACAAAAACAGTACTCCATCACAATCCAAACAAGGGATAGTCACCCAGAAAGCATCCCGGTAGTTTAGGTGCCATCTTTTAATGCCATCTGTATGACCGGCACTTTGCTTTTCTCTAGCCAAAATGTCAGTTACGCATCCAAGACTATATTATATTTATTATGGAAGCTCCTCTCTGAACACATAAAATCTTTGAGGTGGACAGGATATACCAGAGGCCCAGAGCCTCTAGCCTGGTGTCAGCCATTCCTCAGTGGTGTGTTTTCTCCTGGGTCAGGTGGAAATCCTCAACAAAGTGGACTGGAATGGCTGGATGCACACACCTGGGATGCCACCTGTCAAAAATCGGTGAGCTTCCTAGGATCCCAGCAGGCTCCTTAATGCAGGCCTTACACCAAACAACTTTTTTGTGCTATTTCACTATTGCAAATTTCCAGTTTCGGAATAAAATCGTGAGAGTTTTGTTAGAGTTCTGCTGCGCTCCCGTCATCTCGATCGTTTGGTGTAAGGCAGTCAAGATAGCTATCTTAAGTCAGTCTTTTTTCTCATTTTGACATTACAATAAAATCAACTGTTTAATCATAGGTCTTTAATCTTGGCTCATGTACATAGTGATGTGGACATTGTCAATAGATAAGCTCTCTCTAGCACTGAACAGGTAGCAGCAAATTGAGTACGGAGTAGATAGACATAGGTATAGCAAAGACAGATGGAATCAAGTTGCAGTCTTGCCAATAGTGAAATTGGAGGATCCACAGCGCTTGCAAAATCATAATCTGTGACAAAAAAACTCACATTGTCTTTAAATGTGAGAGAGTATCAAACTTAAAAAAGACTTTTTCTTTCTTTGTGAAGTCGTCTACTGAATGTTTAGCATTAGTCTAGGCAGGATGGTTATGAGCCCTCTTCATTAAAATGAGTTAGACTTCCACACTTACAGTTAAGAAGCTGTAGGATCACTTTACTCATTGGCTGGCAGTGAATTACAGTGGTACCAACCAGTTCAGAAAAAAAATGACCTTGATCTGAATCTCAAAAGTCGGACCGTGAACGCTGACCTAAGATAACTTGTACGTGCGGGGAAATGAGTCACGAGGCACGTCTCTCAGTGGAAACAAAGGGTAACACTTCAGCCTCGCATTTGCTGTGATAGCATCGTTTGTTGGTGCGTACACTGGTAATACACTGTACTGTATATCATTTTGTTAGCCATTGCTCACCAAAACGTTACGCAATAGTTTTACAAACGTTACAACCTAAAAGTTTGCGATTTACAAACAAATTAACAAATACAGAGTAATAATAAAAATAAACAATGGATCGCATGGCATAGTCTAGTGTTGGCGCAGTGTTGGGACATGGCTTGGGGTTGTCACGATCTGCCATGCCGGGACCGGACTCAAGCGATTGGGAAACACGGGGTTTAATTGAGAACAGGCAGAACAACACAATGATGTTACAATGACCGGACTGGGGAAACAAACTGAAATGCGGACTAAATACAGAGAACTAAAGACAACAACGAGAAACAGCTGATCACACGGGGATTCCACACGAGATTAACGAGGGGGTGTGGCACACGGAAGGAGCGGCTGATCGGGGCAGGACAGGGGTAGTGTTGGGGTACATTTTTATAATTTTGGAAGCCATTAAGAAAAAAATGCTCTTCTTGTTTTAACCTGTTTATTTTGTGTTTAAATGCTAAAAAAAACTATATGTATTTTTTTTTTTGGGGCCGGGAACCAATGAAATGGATTTCCATTATTTCTTATGGGGAAAATTCGATCAGAACTCAAACTTTTTAGGATTCTAACCCGAGTTCTGAACTGATTAAGTTCTCATTCTGAAGAAAAGTTTGGTATAACAGAGCCGACAGACATTCTTAATCTTATCAACTACTCTCTCTCTGGTGTTGGCGTAATTTATTGGGAAGCCAAAATGTTCCCAAACTACGGATTTTTGTGATGTGGGACGATCTTTCAGCTCTCTAGCACTAGCTGCAACCAACTCAGAGCCACAGTTAGCATAATGTTTTCCATGTTAAACATCTACTTGTGAGTTTAGGTTTCACCCAAACCTAAACCAATTTTTGTTTGAGCGCTGTTTACAAATAAAACACTTAAAAAAACGCACGTAAAAACAGTCGCTTTACCACGATGTGGTCTTTTTTTTTGTCAAATAAATTACCACAAAATTATTAAAGCAATCTTACCATAAATGTGGCAGTAAAATTTCAATGAACCATGTGACCTATAAACTGATATTTTAATTAGGTGTATTAACGTGGTAGCAGTGCAGCTAACTCTAATCACGAAGCCACTCATAACCAGAACAGCTTAATATGTAACTTTACCCTGCATCAGTAGTAACTGACAAACTCTTCAGTTGAATGGGAATGTTGGCCTCCATAGCTTCGGTCATAATTCATTATTATGATGAGCATTACCTGGTATCGTTGCAACCCTAATCGATTTGTTTCATTGTGCGTTCCAAACTGCTGTAACCAAAAGGCACATAATAAATACATTTACCGTTACAACCCTTGTCTTTATTTTAAATGTAGACCTGAAATGCTCTTCAGCGAAATCTTTTTAAAAATTGCAATACACATCAAATCGGTAAACATCAGGATTTGTAAGTGTGTCGTGACACTACTCATCCCTCGTACTGCCAATGCTCCTAGAGGTTCCGGAGCACTGCTTTCACCCCCATGTCCTCATGGGCCCCCGTGACATCCGTGTCTCAGCTCTGTGCCTGGTGCAGTCCATGCTCACATCAAAGTTCTTCCTTTCCAGATATGATACCACCTTGGCGGACGTCTGCATCACTCTCTGCCAGAGATGGGTCCAGGTACTGCTTTGGTCATGTGTCCACTTGGATGTTTCTGGTTTGTTCCAAGTCCATGTACAGTGAGGGGAGTTTTGCTTGAGACTCTGTGCCTCTGGGGTTTTATATGCTCTGTTTTTTTTCTCTTGCCGTCTCTGTACCCCTGTCTCTATCAGGCGAATGAGGCAGACCTGGCTAGCTTCAACGAAGCTGATGTGAAAAATCTCTCGTCTCCTCAGCTGATCGAGTTTCTGGCCCTGCTGCTGCATGAGGTAGGTTGGGGTAGTCGCTGTAGCCCTGATTGACCCCATGACTACTGTTGATGGGATTGGGGTGTGTGCTCATTCTGTTTCAATCTTGTCTCTTCCAGAAGCCCATACCTCTCAGTCACGTGAAGAGAATGCAGGAGGTCTACAACCTGAACGCCATCAAAAACGCTGAAATACGATTCAGGTACCCTGGCACCAGTGGTGTGAGAGCATACTCTCCTTTGTAGATTGTGTATTCTCTGAGTCAGGATTTCAATCAGGATTTAAGTAACATTGGAATATACATCCAACCATCTTTCTTCTGCTCACATATGCAAGATATGGTGTTGCAGGGGTGGAGTTGGGCCCTGGCACGATATAAAATGTGTACACACCCCTGTTAAAATGCTGGGTTTTTGTGATATAAAAAATGAGACCACAACAAATAATTTCAAAACTTTTCCCATTTTTAATGTGGCCTATAACCTGTACAATTCAATTGAGGAGGAGGAGGAGGTAAGGAGCATGCACTGATACAGTGCGTTGCCGCACCCATCACATGACAAACCACCTGAGGGGTGAGAACCTGAGTGCAGCCATGTGGTGGGTGATACCTCAGCACCACACCGGCCCAAATGGACCAGCGTGAATTTTTTCCAGTGGCTGGAGTGTAAATCCTGCCACCAACCCCCAAGTTGGAGGACCTCCTTATAAGACTGGATGTAGATTAACATCATAACATCAGATTAGCCCAGGACAAAGCAATTGCAGGTTAAGGGCCTTGCTCAAGGGCCCAATAGAGTAGAACCTTCCAGTTGCTGGAACAGATCCCTAGCCTCAGAGCCACCACTCCACCCAATTCAATTGAGAAATAAAATCTTTTAGGGGGAAAAAATACAAAAAAATTTAAAATGTAGAAGCTGGCTGCACAAGTGTGCACACCCGTACACTAATACTTTGTTGAAACATCTTTTAATTTTACAGCATTCAGTTTTTTCTCTGTAGAAGTCTGCCACATCTTGACTTGGCCATATCTGCCCATACTTACTTGCAAAAGCTCTCCAATTCTGTCAAATTGTGCGGGCATCTCTTGTGCACAGCCCTCTTCTGGTCAGCCCAGAGATTTTCAACTGGATTTAAGTCTGGGCTCTGGCTTGGTCATTCCAAAACTTTAATTTAACTTTTAAGCCATTTAGTTATCATACTTACAGTAAGATAAAAATATAATTACAGAGGCATTCATACACAACATTTGGCACATAAACTTAATTAGATTCCAGAGATTTTTTTTTAACTATGAAGCAAGAATAAATTAAAATTGTTGCTATTTAATGTTTTATTGTCCTGGCCTCTTTCAAAGAGTTTGCAGGTGATTCTCTGTGTGTATGTGTGCTACTGTACTGTTGTTCCAAGTGGAGATGTGTGTCAAAGGTGTCAACCATCGTGGCTTACATGTGAGATTTTTTTTTTGGCCAAGGTTGTCATCACAGGTTGTCATGTGTCAAAACCAAACAGAAACAAACAAGCTAATACCGCCACCTCCCCCAAGGCAAATGTTTTTATTTTTTTGATGGCTAACTGTCTTCAGCATATTTTACACATTTTTCTTTTATCACCACTTCACTGATGCTAGGTTAACATGTATGATGTACACTCACCTAAAGGATTATTAGGAACACCTGTTCAATTTCTCATTAATGCAATTATCTAATCAACCAATCACATGGCAGTTGCTTCAATGCATTTAGGGGTGTGGTCCTGGTCAAGACAATCTCCTGAACTCCAAACTGAATGTCAGAATGGGAAAGAAAGGTGATTTAAGCAATTTTGAGCGTGGCATGGTTGGTGGTGCCAGACGGGCCGGTCTGAGTATTTCACAATCTGCTCAGTTACTGGGATTTTCACGTACAACCATTTCTAGGGTTTACAAAGAATGGTGTGCAAAGGGAAAAACATCCAGTATGCGGCAGTCCTGTGGGCGAAAATGCCTTGTTGATGCTAGAGGTCAGAGGAGAATGGGCCGACTGATTCAAGCTGATAGAAGAGCAACTTTGACTGAAATAACCACTCGTTACAACCGAGGTATGCAGCAAAGCATTTGTGAAGCCACAACACGCACAACCTTGAGGCGGATGGGCTACAACAGCAGAAGACCCCACCGGGTACCACTCATCTCCACTACAAATAGGAAAAAGAGGCTACAATTTGCACGAGCTCACCAAAATTGGACAGTTGAAGACTGTAAAAATGTTGCCTGGTCTGATGAGTCTCGATTTCTGTTGAGACATTCAAATGGTAGAGTCAGAATTTGGCGTGAACAGAATGAGAACATGGATCCATCATGCCTTGTTACCACTGTGCAGGCTGCTGGTGGTGGTGTAATAGTGTGGGGGATGTTTTCTTGGCACACTTTAGGCCCCTTAGTGCCAATTGGGCATCGTTTAAATGCCACGGCCTACCTGAGCATTGTTTCTGACCATGTCCATCCCTTTATGACCACCATGTACCCATCCTCTGATGGCTACTTCCAGCAGGATAATGCACCATGTCACAAAGCTCGAATCATTTCAAATTGGTTTCTTGAACATGACAATGAGTTCACTGTACTAAAATGGCCCCCACAGTCACCAGATCTCAACCCAATAGAGCATCTTTGGGATGTGGTGGAACGGGAGCTTCGTGCCCTGGATGTGCATCCCTCAAATCTCCATTAATTGCAAGATGCTATCCTATCAATATGGGCCAACATTTCTAAAGAATGCTTTCAGCACCTTGTTGAATCTATGCCACGTAGAATTAAGGCAGTTGTGAAGGCGAAAGGGGGTCAAACACCGTATTAGTATGGTGTTCCTAATAATCCTTTAGGTGAGTGTATATGTTTGTGTCTTAGCATGCCAGCCTCTTTAAGGTGGTTCTGTGTTTGTCAGCATTACATGTCTATATGTGGGCATTGCTGCACTAGACTCTTTCAGGTTGAGGAGTGTGTGTTTTTGCATTATCTTCTTCTCTTGGTGTTTCAGTGTGTGGGTGTTACTGTACGGTGCCATTGTGTGTGTCTTCCAGGTGGTTGCGGGTTTGTCTCCGAGCCAAATGGGAGGAGGCTGTACCTTTGGCCTTCAAGATGGCCACTGAACAAGGACGCTTGAAGTTTACACGCCCCCTCTTCAGGTACTGCCTGGGGGAATGAACATTCAGTGTTTCCCCTAGGTTTACAGCTTTGGGGGGGGGGACAGACGGACACCGACAGGAATCATTGTGATCATGTGTTTTTTTTTTTTAATGACAGCAGTCAATATAACAACTGAATTAAACATTTCTTTTTAGTGTTGCCACTAGTGTAGTGAGTGTTGCCATCTTCACCACCCTGGGAGCGTTTCAAAAATGCAGATATTTTTGTCTGCTTTTCAGGTGGTTGACGCGACATATTTTCCGACGCGCGCTCTCTGTCCGCTGGTGGGAGTGTGCTCACCTGTGTGTGCGCGCATGTGTCTGTGCACGTGCATCGGGGCGGAATTCCGCCATGCGCGATACAGAGAGCAGAGGAGAATTGTAAACACGCGACCATGTAGAGACAAAAATGACAAGCTGTTGTGTAAATAAGATAAATAACATTATGCTATTTAGTTTGTTTAATAAAAGGACAATGTATAGACCTGTTCTATAGGAAGGGTAACCTTAAATTACTTCTGTTGTGATCTGGCGCTATATAGAAAATAATTTTATTTAATTTTACCTTGACTTTCAAGGGGGGGCGGGAGGTACCGTTGGGGGGGCCGGGCTCCCCCCTAATATAATTGTAGGGAAAACACTGACATTTGTGTCAGTAGAAGTGTTACTTTATGTTGATAAGCATATTGATAAGAATCATGCTATTTTACTGAACTGAATCTCTGTAACAATCTAACTGAATGACAAATTTGTATCTATGTGTTTTGCCCCTCTCCAAATCCCACTGAAGTTCCCATGTTAACAAATGTGTTTGATGTATGTGTAAAATAAAACATCAGTGCTTGATTAGACCTTCAGTGATAAGACCTTCAGTGTTAGGAGTATTGGAGGGATTCTTTGTGTTACAGAGGGGGTAGATGTATGCAGAAACACTTACACAATTTCCTCCCTCACTTCCCTGTTGTTTTCTAGAGAACTGCATGGCTTTGAGAAGTTCCGCCAGGAGACAGTCAGCGTGTTTCTGAAGCACCGCGCCTGCATGCACCCTGTTGCCGTCGCTCTGGTGTCCAAAGATCTGAACGTCGACCAGCCGCAGAGCAAAGCTGCGTAGCTGCACTGTGAAAGCATGGAAATGACCCTCCTGCATTAAAAACGGCATGCACACGGCATAACAGTATAGCTTGTCATATTAATAAGCAGTCATAATACCCTACCAGTCAAAGGTTTTTGCACACACTGAGATTTTCTACATTTGCATATTACTTAACATTTACTAAAAATACACAATATTCTTTGCTAACAAATTCATTTACAGTATGTTCACCATTTGAGTACCTTTATTAGCAAGAAAATATATCATTGATTCATCAAAGTAACCTCCTCTAGCAGTTATAACGGCAGAGAAAATTCAAGGCATTCTTTCTACAAGGGCAATTAAATACTGCTTTGTTTCATGGGACGAAATAGTTAACTGGTGCATCTAAAGTTAAAGGACAGCCTAGAATTTGACTATGCCATCGCCACGCAACCAGTTAATTGGATGTCAGACATGCACTCACATATATACTCTATCCATGTTATAAAGGAAACTAGTTATATCTGACTTATGTTTTAATTTATAGTTATTTGCTTTAACAACAATAAAAAAATCTGCAGTTTACGAAATAAATGGAAAAGTAGTAAAAATCTGTAACGTGGAAAAACTTTTGAATGGTAGTGCAGGTATTTAGCTTTGCAGCTAAAATGAGATTAGTGTTTTGAGTGTTACTTTTTAAGTAAACTGCAGGAAATTAAGCTTTTTATTTTACAATAAATGGGCAGCACACACATTTTGCATGGAGTTGGGGTTGCTTTACTGCTTTTAGCATTTCAAATAAAAAAAAATAAATGAAAACCAACATTTGTAGTGTTTTAGTTTTGAGTGATCGCATATAGAGGAAGTTGAGCTGTTTCACAGGAAAGTTAAGTTTGTCTAATGCAGAAGCGGAAATCTGCGGCTGGCAATTATAGACAAATTCAGTATGATAAACTGCGGCCAGTCGGCAGCTAGTTAACTGTTAATCTGATAGAGGACTAATTGTCGTGGCGTGTTGAGCACGGACCGGGGAAGTAGGAGCCGGAGACGTCGGGGAAATAGGGATTTAATGGGCGAACGAAGGGGACATACAAGGCAAAACAAAAAAATGACATCACCACCGGACATCAGACTTCAACAATAGATTTCAATGACAGGACTGGGGAAACATACTTGAACGCGGACTTAAATACAGAGATTCAATTACACAGGATTGAAAACTGCTGAAAACATAGGGATTTCACATGAGGTTAACGAGGGGGTGTGGCACACAGGAGGATCAGGTTGTGACAGAACCCCCCTCCCCCCCCGCAAAGGTGTGCACTCCGAGCACGCCTACCAGGATTGAGGGAGCAGAACCAGGGACAGCAGGGGACCAGACCTGGGAAAACAGGAAACAAAACATGAATGAGAAACCGGGAACAAGGCCAACACACAGGACAGGCACAGGGACACCAGCTGAACAAACACCAAAACGAACAGAGACACTGTGTTTTTGTTAAAGATAATTATTTCTTGATGAAGGATTTGTTTTTCTTCGAACAAATTTATTTCAATTAAAGGTTGGATTTTTCTCATTTTTTCAATGTGAGATGAAGTAACGTTACCAAAAGGTGGATTTTTTCTTAGCCTTTTGACAAATCTTTACAAGGGGTGCCTGGTAGGTTTATTTTAACAGCAAAAGATAGATAATAAAAACAAGCCAGAAAAATCATTATGTAACAGTTACAAACCAATTTGTCATTTATCTAGGGAAATAAGTATGTAAGTACACATGCTTTAGTACTTAGTGGAGTAATCATTGTTGGCAAGCACAACTGTCAAATATTTCTTGTAGTTGGTCACCAGATTTGCACACAGCCCCGCAGGAATTTTCATCCACTCCTCTTTGCAGATCTCCTCCAAATCTTTAAGGTTTTTAGGCTGTCACTTGGATACACGAAGCTTGAGTTCCCTCCATAGGTTTTCCATGACCTTAATCTGCTTCTTCTTGAAGCAGCTTATGGTTGTTGTCTTGCTGGAAGACCCACCCACAATGCATTTTCAGTGCCCTGGCTGAAGGAAGTAGGTTCTCTTCCAAGATTTTACACTACATGGCTCCATCCATCTTTCCTTCGACACAGTGCAGCCATCCTGTACCCTTGGCAGACACCCACAAAGCATAATGCTTCCACCTCTGTGTTTGACCGTATGGATGGTGTTCCTGGGGTTACAGTCAGCATTCTTTTCCCTCCAAACACAGCGAGTAGAGTTGATGCCAAACAGCTCGATTTTGGTCTCATTTGACCACATCACATTCTTCCAAGCCTCATTGGAATTATTCACTGGCATACTTCTAAACATGGGCCCTCATGAACAGGGGTACTTTGTGAGCACTGCAGTATATCAAACTACAGTATAACTGCATACTGTGTTACCAATGGTTTTCTTGGCAACCGAGGTCCCTGCTTCATTGAGATCATTAACAAGTTCCTCCCATGTAGTTTTGGGGTTAGCCCTCACTGCTCTTAAGATCATTGGGCCTCATTCACCAATATTTTCTTAAGAATTCTCTTAAATTTGTTCCTGCGAAATTTAAGAACAACCTACATCGGATTCATGACATGTTCTTAAGTAGCAGAATTGTTCACACCTTTGTTCTTAAGAATGGTGAATCCCATGTCTTCGTAACTGAAAGCACGTGCCAGTTTGTCCTAATTAGCATAGGGAAACGCCCTGAAATTTCCCATAAAAGGGCATGTGTATGGCGTTCAATTAGTGCCAAAACTCGCGCATAAAAACCATGCGCGTACAGTATGCGCTCCCGAGCAGAAAATCCATACCTCTACGCCCTCGCGTTTGCACAGCACTCTCTCGCTTGCTCGGCTTTAAAATTAGTGCCAAAAGTCGAACCACTGCTTTACCAGGTCCCTTGAAGTCCGTTATAACTGGATCTTACTGTACAGGAGGTAAATGCAAATAGACACATGTTATTTAGTAGCGTAACCAGTTGATATAAAACCCCAGAGAAAGCTGATACTGTACATGGAAAGATATCACCTTTTCTGTGAATGCTGTGTGCCAAATAAATCTAAATGATCTTCAAACATGCGTTCCCTTCTCAGAGCACGATTAGCAAGCTCTTCAAGTAACAGAAATGCCATTTTGATAGCAAGGCCAATGCACAGAAACAGACCTATTTATAATCCGCATGATCGCGGTTAATTACTACAATGAAAATAATTTTTACACAATTTTTTTTTATATATTTTACTTTTATAAATGACTCAAATACATTCATTTTATGAACTGTAGAATGAACAAAACTGCTATAACCGATTATTTTGAACAAACTATCATTACTCAAATGTGCGTACGAATGGTCTTCAGTATGCGTAGATTCTGTTCTTAGCTAATAACAAATTCAGATAAGAAAACATTGGTGAATGTCAGAATCTTCGTAAAAAAAAGTGCGTACATGTGGTTTAAGAACAAATTTGTTCGTAAGAACGGTTGGTGAATGAGGCCCATTGATGCCGCACAAAACGAAATCTTCCTTGGGGCCCGAGATTCAGGGTGACTGACAGTTATAGTCTTTCTTCCATTTGCAAATAATTCCACCAACAGTTGTTACTTTCTCACCAAGCTGCTTGCTGATGGTCATGTAGCCTATTCCACCTTTGTGAAGGTCAACAATCTTGTCTCTGACATCCTTAGACAGCTGTCTGGTGTCTCTCATGATGATAAGATTGAAGATCTGGAAAGGTTAGTAACCAAAGAATACTCTTTAAACAAAGTAATGCCATTAAATGTGAATGCTGGCTTGGTATCTGTTAATACCTAATTAAGTACTACTTGTGTTGTGTTAATGTGTTAATTTCTTGCTGACTTGTAGGGGATCAAATACTTATTTCCCTAGATAAATGACAAATTGATTTGTACCTGTTACATAATGATTTTTGTTGTTTCTGATGTTGAAATAAACATACCATTGAAATTATAGACTAGTTTGCCATCCATGGAAGTGCCTTTAATATATTCTTACAAGTATAAATACATAACAAAGTAATGTAAGGGAGGGTATTAAGTGATACACTAACTCAGACAGTTACAAGGCTAGGAAATGAAGAATGACAGCTTGCTTTTGCAAAACATAGGTCAGTGCTGCCACCTACAGACAGATGCCATGAGTCTTGTAACTCATTCAGTGCTGCCACCTACAGACAGATGCCATGAGTCTTGTAACTCATTCAACTGGCTTCAGCCCCAAGTATATATGGCTGCAGCCGGGAGCCCAGTGGGAGAGGCAGTGTTGAGTAGGAGGGATTTATCACAAGGGGTAGGAGGGGTTCATAATGAGGGTTAGGGTTAGAGTATCAGATGATAACAATTATAAACCCCTCCCACATTGCGCCTCCTACTTGACATTGCACCTCCCACTCAACATTTGGCTCCTCGGTGCTGCTCCACTCTTTAGACCTGCGAGTGTCCCAGTATCGGTTGATTGAACCTGATACAAGGAGTGGTTTGCTTGGCTACATGTAAGTGGTGGCTTGGCCCCTTTGGCCGGATATCCTCACACGCTGGCAGGACCTTGGAGAGCGACCGGTGTCAGTCAGAGCCACGGTACCCGCAGATCACAATATGCCTCGCTTTACCGTTCATGTCCGGGACGAGTGGCTGACGGTGCCCTGCAAAGACCCCTCCTACACTATTCAGTGGCTGGGTTTGGAGGCCATCAAGCGCTACACAAAGAACAAACCAGACAACGGAGGAATCAAATCTGTCAAGGACATAAGCTTTGTGGCCAGGAGGTGCCAAGGACAAGGGCTGCTGGACCCCGACGACACCATAGAGGATGTCCTGGAAGACAATGACTTTGTCGAACTGGGTAATCTGTAGGGTCAGAAGAAATGTGACAAATCTCCCATATAGAATGTTTTTACTGCATAGTTTAAAAGATAGTGCCCATAGTCTGCTTCATGCATACACCCTACAATGTTATTAAGGTGTTTGATGTGACTGTCTCCCCTACAGCGATCGATGGGGACACCATGTCTCCTGACTTTATTCCTTTCCAGCCTGGAGTCTCACACCTGTATCCTTGCCAATTAAGCATAGTACTAACAGTATTAATAATACTATTAGTACTAGTACTTCTCTTTTGCGATTCTTGGGGGGTAGTTGAGGGTTGTGAGGATTATGGCACATTAAAATCTTTTTATCCTTTAGGTTTTGCAAAGGTTTTTTCCCCTTAACAGCTCGCAGAACAGCAGCGTATCGGGAGCCAGAGAGTGTGAGACCTTCCGTTTATTCATATATCTATGGCATGTGGAAGTTAATTCATGTCTAATAGCAGATTTATTGAACGAGCAATTCATTGCTGATGTGTTTTTTCTCCAGTATCTTCATCTGGATGGTAACAATCTCACGTCATCAGATCTTGTGGATTTAGGAAAGGGACTGTACAAGATTAAGGTAGGTCTATTAGTCATATGCATTGAGTCTTATTTAGGTTTTCTTTTACTCAATTTAATTTTAGGTGGGTGCTGAAGTGAGTGCAGATTAACAGGTGTCACCCCTGTGCCTTTTTCCAGCTGACACCAGAGGCAGAGACTAAGGTTGTGCAATCCAGGGAACTTCTGGACACTATTGTTAATGATCACAAAGGTATGATAAATGAAGGTGTTTTCACGGCTCCTAAGTCTTTTAAAATAGTTGAATTATCCTCATGAAACAATGGAAAGTTTTTAATAGTTATCTGCTTGTCAGTGTGATGAAAAAAACTAATCAAAAAAGGACAAATAAATCTCTTTACACAGTATATCTTCTTACACTGTTTTTTGTTTGTTTGTTATTTTTTTCTTTAATAAATAAACCGACTGTTAAACAACTGCTAAATAAAAACATTTATTTGGATGAAAACATTATACTGAATGTGGTGTATTTCAGTTTGTTTATAGATGTATTTAAAAAAATAATTTCATGTGTTGTTTGAACAAAGTTTTCTTTAAGGATTTTCACAATGTACTTTTGCTTACATTCTTTTCCAAAAAAGCCAAAATCACATAGTTATTATACGATTAGCTTGTTCTCAAAGGCAAACAGCGAAATGTCAAAGAACATGTTTACTTAAGAGCAGTAAGAGAGTCTTACTTCTGATGCCAGATGTGACATCACCTCTGTACAGATCAAATGTGTGACCTTCGTATAGCCTGTACAGATGCATTTCTTTGGGCGTTGCCTTATATAACCATCCAAAGAACTCAAAAAGTCTTTAAGTTTCTTATTAAAAGCAATGAGATATTCAAATACACTTTCACCAGTATAAGCATTGTAGAGATGAATGGAGTGGGTGGATGCTTCCATGTAGATTATCCTTAAAAACTGGTACATCATTAGTTGATCTGTCTATTAGTTTAGGCTGGGAAAGTTTTAAGATGTCATTTGTTCTCAAGGAAATTAACCTTCTGATGGATTAAACTTGCATTAAAAGTGTAATGATATGTTTATACCATTAACTGTATGAGACAGAAGCTTACAGAATGAAGAACACAAAGTTATCTGAAAATATAACTGATGTTAATTTTTCCCCAACTATCTACTGTCTATGATATTATAAATTTTACATAGGAAATGGGGGGGACGGAGTGACAGATCATAATAACTGGCAAGTAAGCATCAAGGTAGCTCACAGTTACACTGGCAAAAGTGCTACAGGGCATTAGAAAAAAAATTAATGTATATTACTGCATGCACTATTGGTCCGTTTATTAAAAGTAATGTAGTGCCAAACTTGTAATACTGGCTTTCTTTTAGTTGTATATGGCATCACAACTGGGTTTGGGAAATTCGCCAGGACCGTGATCCCAATCAGCAAGCTAAAGTGAGTCATTGGGCTGCCTTCTTTTTTGCTGTAGTTAAAGAATTCAGAAGACATTTTCAGGAAATTATGTTTGTTCTTTGCTTTGAAGGGAGCTGCAAGAAAACCTGGTGCGATCGCACTCGGCTGGTAAGTCTATGTTTAGTTCTTATTCTTTTACTTTAGGAAGAAGTATCAGTCAACCTGTGTGTAGAGTGTAAATGAAAGATTGTAGGTGTATTGTTATTACTCTCTGCTTAATCTGAGTGTGCAGTGCAGGTCTGGTCACTGTAGTCTTCCTTTCATGTGTAGAGTCTATATTAGAGTATAAACTCCTGAATTCACCAAAGGTGGTCACTGTGCTCTTTTTGTATGGAATGAAGGTGTAGGTGCTCCATTGAGCCCTGAACGAACCCGAATGCTGCTTGCCCTGAGGATTAATGTCCTGGCCAAAGGGCATAGTGGCGTCTCCTTGGAAACACTGCAGAGGATGATTGATGCCTTCAACGGTGAGCCCAAGACCCTCCAGCCACTGGTCGGACCTGCATATGGATGTATTCTGAGTCAGGAGTGGATGCATTATGGGTGACCAGTGTCCCGACTGTCCCCACAGCATCCTGCTTGTCCTACGTACCAGAGAAAGGCACGGTTGGTGCCAGTGGAGACCTCGCTCCCCTGTCGCATCTGGCTCTGGGGCTGATGGGGGAAGGGAAGATGTGGTCGCCAATGAGTGGCTGGGCAGATGCCAAATATGTATGCTTTTATAAAAATCAATACTGACGACTTTGAATCTGAATAAAAAGTATCATGGCCACCCTGGGCTTAACAGTATATAGAGATGTGTTGCCCAAAATCATAATATAAAGATAAGATTATATAAGATCACAATCATAAGAAAATATACATGGTTAGAGTTTTCTTGATATTTGTATTTGTATTACTCGTACAGGTGTTAGAGGCTCATGGACTGAAGCCAATATCACTGAATCCCAAGGAGGTATTGCACTTATAATGTAAAATCTATTTTATTTCTCTGAAACTGTCAATATGTCTGTGCAACTGACTGCTTCTGAAACAGAACTCTCAAGTTACAACAAATTGGGGTCAACTGAGTGAAAGGATATAGACTATTATAAAAGGTTTGAACATTTACAAAATATTGCACAATGTTAGTGAAGGTCCAATGATTCACTGAAAGGCTCCAAAATGTATTACATGTTCTAGAGCTTAATACAATGTTCTTGGATACCCTGTGATTAACTGTTCATGTTAATGCTTCTTGGCAGGGCCTGGCTCTCATCAATGGGACCCAGATGATTACATCCTTGGGGGCAGAGGCTGTAGAGAGGGCTCAGGCTATTGCCAGGCAGGCTGACATCATCGCAGCACTGACACTGGAGGTGCTGAAGGGGACCACCAAAGCTTTTGACAGCGGTGAGAGTCACTTGAGGTGTCAATCAGCTATTGCAATGGTAGCTAAGGCTAAATTGCTACATGCTTGTAGTTATGAAGTCCAGCAAGTATGCTGAACTATAATAATGTTATAAAAGTAAGTCCCATTGCTATTTCATTGGTAATATATTCCAACAGCGTTCATTGTATAGAACAAGTGGAAACACTTCAAGGAAAACACATAAGTTAATTACACTTTACCAGAAGTTCATCAGTATATAATATTTGAATGTAGGCTAATACCATAAATACTAGCTAACAATATCCCATCAACTGCTATTATAAAAAAATCTCAGCAGCATTTGTAGCATCAATCCAGTAGCAGTCTATGGAATGACACAACTCTATTTCCCTGGAAAGCAAACTGGATTCAGTTAAATTGTACATTTAAGTAAACAAAATAGTAATCCCCATGTCTGCTAAAAGAAAAACAATATAACTTGTAATTCCAACAACTTTCAAACTCGTGAAGACAATCATCCATTAGATTTGTTGATGAGGATGGAAATAAAAATGAATGTCTAACTTAACTTTGGTGAGGGCTGAGGTGGTGGTGTGAATGCACAGCTTAAGATAGTGAATGGAACATGCATCCCTGCATCCCCCCAGACATCCACAAACTCCGCCCACACCCAGGTCAGCAGGAGGTGGCTCTCCGCTTCCGCTCCCTGCTGGACTCGGACCACCATCCATCTGAAATTGCAGGTGAGTTCCCAGCGATGAGGTTCGTGTTTGCCGACACTGCATGCCCAGGCCTTCCTGAATGATGTCTCGTTTACAGAGAGCCACAGGTTCTGTGACCGTGTCCAGGATGCCTACACTATGCGATGCTGTCCTCAGGTAAAGTCACACTCATCATGGTCCTGGCTGGCATCCACTCCATCACCTGATGGGAGCCTTGGTGAGGTCTGGTCTTCAGTGTAGCACCTGAGTATTCTGTGTGGTTCAGCTTTTTAACATCTGTATCTGAGGGGAGAGATTAAGCTTCAAAACCCACAGTGAATGGGATTATGTGCCATAAATCTTAGTTTGACTGAACAATGAAAAGAGAACATGACTGCTTTATCCATTTGTTACTTGGTTACTATTGAGTGACTGACACCACCTGTCCTCATTATTGGGTTTTGAAGCATCATTTATCCCATCTCTGCCAAACAGCGAATGACAAATACTGAGTAATGCAAATTTAAATGAAGGCAGCATCTCCATTTTCTTAGCTTTTTAAAGGTGAGCAAGGCTTCATTTGGAATAACAACCAGTCCTTAATGAAGCATCATTTCTGTATTCTTTTATCTCTCCCAGGTGCACGGCGTGGTAAATGACACAATAGAGTTTGTGAAAAATATCATCAACACAGAAATTAACAGTGCTACGGACAACCCTGTATCTTTTTAAACCAGATAACAGATGACATGCTCATACTTGGTGTAGCATTCATCAAAATAGCCCAATAGTATCTAGGAGTAATGGAGGAGTTGAGGATGGTTAGGTAGAAGTTTGAACTTTGACCAAAGCCTCAGATGGTATTTGCAGAACGTGGAGAGACCATTTCTGGAGGGAACTTCCATGGGGAATATCCAGCCAAAGTAGGTGCTGGAAATTTGATGATGACTTAGTTGGACCCAAAGTCAAAATGGTGCACATTGGAGGGTGTTTTTTTATTATTGCATGTTGTAATTCTGCTCCAGGCCCTGGACTATCTCGCCATTGGCGTCCATGAGCTGGGCTCCATCAGCGAGCGCAGGATTGAGCGCCTGTGTAACCCCTCCCTCAGTGAGCTCCCTGCCTTCCTGGTCAATGAAGGTGGCCTTAACTCTGGGTTTATGATAGCTCACTGCACTGCTGCCGCACTAGGTTAGCCTGCCGTACTTCCTGGGGGAAACCCTGCAGGCCTTTCACCTCCCGTTACCCACCGGTACCCATCTTCTCCTGCCCATTCACACTCAACTCCATCTTTGCAGTGTCAGAGAACAAGGTTCTGTGCCACCCATCCTCCGTGGACTCTCTGTCCACCAGCGCCGCCACTGAGGACCATGTATCCATGGGTGGCTGGGCAGCCCGGAAGGCTCTGAGGGTGGTGGAACACGTAGAGCAAAGTGAGTGACTCCCAGGGTGCTGTAACATCACAACTATTGATTCACTTCCATTGAATACCATTTCTGTGTCTGTGAGAAAACTGTTCCCCAGTCCCCATATGTGCTTAAATATTAAAGAATCTGAACCATCACTGGGGTCTATAGTCGTCAAGAGTTAAGACAGTAAAGGAGATGAAAGACGGGCACCGGATGTGGACTTGAGAAGAACCAGAGCAGAACCTGCTGACATGCTGCTCCTCTGGTCACTTTTATAGACACTATGTCCCTGTCATACACACCAGGATAACCTGTTCCTGGAATAGTGGATCCATATCTTAAAGACTTACTCTCTGGGGTAATGGTGATGCTAATGTATTGGTTGATCTGAATTTATCTTTATTCATACTGAATGCATTAGGTGGGTAAGATACTCCAACAGGATCAGTGTAAACTGGGTCCCTGACAGTGCCAGTATTAGTAGGTACAGTTTTCAAAAGTAGTGTTATTAAGGGAAGTAGCTGCCCTGATTACCACCAGTTAACAGAAACTAGTCATTCTAGGTGAAGTGCAGGAGAACTTGAGTTTTGTCACAAGTTTAGGCACCCCAGTGTTACAGAGATTGGGCAGCAGTAATTGGTGCTGGTTTGGGCATACATGCAGAAATTTCTCTTAAAAGCCCTGACCATTTGACCTGAGCTGGTTATGTAAACTTAATAATCTGAAAGGACACCGGTTTTAGCCAGTCAAAGATGTTGTCAATGTTCCCTAAAATGGGCCCGTTGTTACTGTAGCACTGCTTCCACTAAGTGGACTATGCCCTGAAAATGTGCCACTCTGGGGCAATGGGAAACTTAGTGTCTAACTGAAGCTAATGTGTAACACGAGGAGGAGGCCGGTCACAGGAGTGTCACACGCGTCCGGCACAGCCCTTCGCTCAGGGGAAGTCTTTCCCGACCCCTTGTTGAATTAGCTATCTGCACGCTGGCTTTGTTTGTGAAGCAGGATAAGAATACATGTGTAACTTTGTTTTTGGCTGCTGTATGTTTGACTAACTGGATTGCTTCACAGTTGGAGGTTACACTGATCCCTTTTCCCTCCCCATGGGGCAGTCCCCACACCACTCAACTGCCCATACAACCTCCATCCATTCATTCGAATAATCATCTGCCCTTTCCTTATGTCAGTCCTCTCCATTGAGCTGCTCGCTGCCTGTCAAGGGATCGAGTTTCTTCGGCCACTCCGGACGACCACACCACTGGAAAAGGTCTATGACCTTCTGCGAACCATGGTCAGGTAAGTTCGAGAGGCAGCATATTTACACAGATTCCAGTTCTTGGGAGGGTGGGTTAATGATCCAGTCAGCTTAGCTAGTAAACAAGCTAAACAGTGTGTTGGCCTCCTGCCCTCCTGGATCCTCCCCCTCTTTCAGGCCATGGATTAAGGATCGCTTCATGGCGCCAGATATCGAAGCCGTCCACCGGCTGCTGCTGGATCAGAAGGCAAGTGATAGACAAAGAGACGTCTCACTGTTATAAATGATAGGAAATCTATGGTGAGGACTGGCTTAAGCATCTGAGAAACTAATTTAATCATCATTGCAAATTAATTAGTTGGGATATAATGGGAGACATTATGGGATGCTTAAGATTTTATGTCATCCAAAATTTATCTCCATCCATCCATTTTCCAAACCACTTATCCTTTTGGGTTGTGTGGCGTTCAGAGCCTATCCTAGAAGCTACAGGCATGAGGTAGGGAACAACCCAGGATAGGGGGCCAGCCCATCACAGGGCACACTCACATATGCACACCTATGGGAAATTTAGTAACTCCTATTAGCCTCAGCATGACTGTTGGGGGGAAACTGGAGTACCCGGAGAAAACCCCACGACAACATGGGGAGAACATGCAAACTCCACACATATGTAACCCAGGCGGAGACTCAAGCGCTGGTCCCAGAGGTGTGAGACAACAGTGCTAACCACTGCACCACCATGCCACCCCCCACATATTACCTCATTTTATTATATACTTTTAAAGGATCAAAATTTAAATGAAATATCTTTCCATGGTAATATAACAGCATATGCTTGGTTGAAATTTGTGAACCCACGTTTTGGAGTGTAAGGGGGAAAATTTTTGGGACATAGCATGAGTTTTATACCATTGCATGATTTGGGGGTAGTTTTAAACACACATGTGAGGGTGGACCAGCAGACAATGAGCAGGTAATTCTAGTCATTCATCCTGTTGCTATTTTCCTGCGAATAACTAAGCATGTTGGTCCTGCCCACACAGGTATGGGCAGTGGCACAGCCATACATTGAAAAATACCGCATGGAACACATTCCAGAGTCCCGTCCCTCCTCCCCAACTGCCTTTTCACTGGACCCTCCAGCATCCCCTAGGAAACGGGTTCGCCACGAATGACAGTTCCTTAAATAGCAACCTGTAAAGTGAAGCATATGTTTCCAATCTTACAAGTAACATCTTCATGGTGCTGATGTGAATGTAGTCTGTCTAGACTCAAGACATTTTGGTATGATGATACCACATAATCTTGATCAAATTTAAAAATTTAATGTTTTTGCTCAATTAACACTCATTGTGAGCAAAAATATTTAATGAGAGCTAGTTTTCTAGGCAGAAAAGCTAATAGCTAAATAGCCAATGTATTAGCTTTAGAAGATGTGCAAGTACCTCAATCAAATATGAAACAACAAAAAAAGATGATTGGTTAGAAGGAATTGGACTTACTTTACTTTAACAAAAGTTAGCAGTTACATAAGAAGCCAATATATTACTGCAAGGTTTGTTTGAAGCATTGTACGTCTTCTTTCTATAGTAGTGCATTAGTAATTATGAACTGGTGGAAACTTTAAACATGATTTTGTAATTGAAAACATTTGAGGAGAGGTATCTCTCAGTTTTGGAAAAAAAGATGTTCTCAATAAAATGAGGATGAACACGGACGTTGTCCTGTGTGTCATGGATCAGCAAACTCAACTAAATCAATAAACACAATTATTAAATAAACTACAATAACACCATCACTGCAATGAACAAGTCTTTGATAAGCCAGAACTTTCCAGAAGAATGCTATCTGTACAGTCGCTGGGAGAACATATCACCTTGATGACGCCAAATAATATTAAAAATAATAATACTAACATAGGAGTAACCATGGATATGGGATTCATTCTTACTGTACTTGAAATCCTCATATCCTAGAGGCATTATGTGACCATGTTTACTGTGGCCTACTGACAACCCCAACATGTCTTTGATGGTTGTTCAGGGTTCAATAACTGTAGCCTGTGACCCACAAGCACTGGCTAGTGCTGGTCCAGTATCTACACAGATCTCAAAGTGACTTTCAGATATGCTGAGTCAGCACACAGAGAGACAATCAGTAACTAGTGGTGTGATTATTGACCCTCTTCTAACCATGGTGGGTGGGATTTACTGTGCTGTCAGTGGTATAAACCTCTTAGAGGTAAGGAGCATACACTGATTACAGTGTGTTGCTGTACCCACCACACAACCTCTATGGACCAGTGTGAGGTTTTTTCCCCAGTGGCTGGAGTGCCAATCCTGCCACCAACCCCCAAGTTTTTCCCTGTAAGTTGGAGGACCTCCTTATAGTGTTGGATGTAGATTAATGCATATCCAGGATAAAGAAATTGCAGGTTAAGGGCCTTGCTTAAGGGCCCAACAGAGTAGAATCACTTGGGGCATTCACAGGATTTGAACCTGCAACTTTACAGTTGCTGGCACAAAGCCCTAGCCTCAGAGCCACCACTCCATTCATAAACCCCATCATGAAAAAGCCCATAGAAATCATGAAATTGATCAATGGGAAGTAGGAAAATGTCTGTGATTGATAACTCATGACTCCCACCCACTGTAGGCTTCACTGTAGGCTCTTTGCCATCAGTAATGTTACCCCTTCCTCCCATAATGCACCTCTTTTTAGGTGACTGTACAGGACCTATAGCTCTCTCACAGCACACCAGACGGTGGAAATAGCTCAGTATCACAGAAACTTAAAAAACAGAAATTTTTTAAACCTGGCCTGCACAATCAGCCACTCCAAATACTCAAGTTTTTATTTCTTGTTTTTAATTAAGATTGTTCAAGGATAACAGTAATTGCCAAAATGTATTTCATTTTCAACTAATTAAATTTATCGACAGTGCTTCAAAAATGAGGTTCCTATAGTACATCACTTACAATCACAGGCATTGTACATGGCAGACAATAAAATAACAGCAGCATTGTATTTACATTTTTTAAACACTGGTATTGATTAAACAAAAGATGGGCTGTGTGAAAGCAGTAATACTAAACACCAAAGTTGGTATTGTTCAGTAACTGTAAATGTTCAGTAGGACATTGTGTTTTTATTTTCATACACAACTTCCCCTTTTATAATAACATACTTGATGAGCTCTTGGTGTCCTCCAAACTGGTATATTAAGTGCTCCCACCTACAAAAGAGTTAAGGGTCAGGGAATCAGCATCAGTGTACAAGCCCAAAGGAAGCATCCAAGCAATTTGGCTGAGAGATACATTAGTCATTTGAATGATTTTATTGTGAGAGAAACACACATGACAGGGTGGGTTTCATTTATTCAGTATTTATTCAATTCCATATGCATCCTGGTATAGCAAATCACCCAAAGATAATTATAAGTATTTAAATGGGTGACTTTGTGGTGTGGTGAATATGATAAAGCCATCTCTGTGTAAACCATGCTATACCACCTGTGGTGTGCAGTGAAGACATTGAGAATAAGGAAAGATGAAGACACAGATATCAAGGAGGATGGACAGCATGGGGAAGATGGATAGCATGTGGAGGATGGATACCGTGTGGAGAATGGATAGCATGGCAAAGCATGGAGCATATGGGGGCCATACCGGGGGCAGTCGACAATGAGCAAGTTGGCCTCCTTGCCAGCCTCCAGTGAGCCGTGGCTGTGCGAGCGGCCCAAAGCGTATGCAGCATTTATGGTAGCGGCAGCAAGTGCCTGGTCCATGGACAGTCTCATGTTGACGCAGGCCAGATGCATGACCATGGGCTGGGGGGGAGGGAGACATTATAAAGCCATTATGGAAGCACAGCTATCACCTCACCCTCCAATAAACACAAATGCAAAGGGCCTGGTGGGGGTGTCCTTTCTTACACTTATAATATGTCACTCCTTTGTAGCCTGAAAACCCCAAGATGTGTGGAACGGACCCGACTGTCCCTAGTGCTCCTAACAAATACAGAACTCTTCGCTTAACTAAAGGGAGTCAGAGACCAATTATCTGCCCACAGAACCAGGAAGCAAGCAGAGCCGCAGATATGAAAGCAGGATTCACAGAAGTCTATTGCTTATCCAAAGCAGATGATGGTCATTAGGTTAATTAACCATGAACATTAGACTGATTAACCATGAATATTGTTTTGATGAAACAAGCATTGAAAACCTGATTCCCCAGGAAAAATACCGGTGGGGGACATCCCAAGCCAAGTCCCTAAGGCCCCCCATGTGGGATAGCAGCCCCAGCCCCAAAGAGACACTCACCATAGAGCAGCAGTAGGCATTGGGATTGAAGTCACTGCCCAGGGCCACAATGACGCCGGCATCCAGCATGTCCCTTGCTCGCGGCTGAGGGAGCCTGAGCGACAGACATAATCCCAGCCCTGTACATTATGGCTGTTACAACTAAAAAAAAGCACCTGTGTTTAATGTCTTAAATTGACATTGCCCCATTAGGGGAACTCTGCTGTGGTAATATTGTCCTAAATCATTGTGATAAATTAACTACCTCTATAAACATGTGGTTTTACAAAAAAGATCCACTGATGAGGGAATAACATTATTTTACATGTATCTTTAAAATTAATTTCTCAGTTAAGCAGAAAATACAGTGCCTAGGCTGGGCAGTGCATCACGTTGTCAATACACTTTCCCATACTGTACCTCAAGATGTAGGCTGTAGTGGGCAGCAGCACTGCAGCAGTCTTGGACTTTGCCATGGCCGCTATCCCCTCATCTGTCACCTCCTCCAGGTGGCTGATGGCCAACGCACCCAACTGTGCCCCTAGCTATGAGACACATATCAACATCATTGGGAGACGCAGAAAGTGGCTGAGGCTGCAACAGGAAGTTTGGAAAACTCCTATCATCCATCCATCCATCCATCTATCTATCATCTATTTTTGTGAGATTTGAACATTGAGTACTAGACATGGAGTGTGTCTCATGTAAATCCTTTATATCAGTCCATGTAGACAAAGACACTTGCAAGAACAGCATCCATGATAGAGCTGCAAAGGCAAAAACCACTGGTAAAGTAGAGGAATATCTAAAATTACATGAAGGCTCATGTAAAATTTGCAAAAAATTGTTTTATGGATGATCAGTCAAAAGTGAAACTATTTGGGAAACGTGGGTCTTGCTACATCTGGCATAAAGCTCACACCATTTTCTACACAAAGATCTTTATGCCAAAGTTACACATTGTGGAGGTACTGTAGTGTGATAGTGTGGGGATGCTTTGCTGATTCAGGACCTGGCGATTTGCCATAATTGAGACACGCATGAATTTGGCTGCCTACCAGAAGGGCAATGTCCAGTCATCTAAAGCTAAAGTACAACAGGGTTATGCAACAGAACCACAGTCCTAAGCATAAAAACAAGTCCATGTTTGAATGGCTGAAAATAAGAAAATGAAGGTTTTGGAGTTGCCTAGTCAAAGTCTTGACATTAGCCCCATTAGATGTTGTGGCAGGCCCTTAAATTAAAACAAGTCTAGAAAAGAGTGGCCCACAATTTCTCCACAGCAATGCCAGTCTCCTCTTAATGCAAGTTCTGGATTGCAGTTGCTGCTGGTAAAGGTGACACAGCCAAGAATTAAGTTTGTCAGTTACTTTGTCACATGGATGATATAGGTGTTGGTGAATTATTTTCCTTCAATAAATCAAATTATCATTTAAAAACTGTGTGTTGTGTTTACTTATGTTATCCTTTGTATTATACTGAATTTGTTTAAAAATCAGACACGATTCAGTGTTATGGATAAGCAAAACTAGAGCAAATACAGTGGTACCTCAGAACTCGAATTTAATCCGTTCAGAACTCCGGATCAAATCCTAAAAAGTTTCCCCATGAGAAATAATGGAAAACCAATGAATTGGTTCCCGGCCCCAAAAAATTACACATAAATATGTTTTTTTTTAGAATTTAAACACAAAATGAACCGGATAAAACAAGAAGAGCTAACCACATCTAAGCACATTTATCAAAACAGTAATTTGTAAAGTAAGAAAATAAATGTATCCAAACAATGTGTCCTGCCCCGATCGTCTACTCCTTCTGTGTGCCACGCCCCCTCGTTAACCCCGTGTGGAATCCCCGTGTGATCAGCTCTTTCTGGTTGTTGTCATTAGTCATCTGTATTTCGTCCACGTTTCAGTTTGTTTCCCCAGTCCGGTCATTGTATTGTCCGTCTGCGTTTTGCCTGCCTTACCTGTAATTAAACCCCGTATTCCCTGACGTCTGCGCCTTTGTCTCCGTTCCGTCCTTGCTCGGTACAACAATATTATTATAATTGAACGTATTAATGGTTTATTATTGATATAAAAATAATGAATAAGAAATCTTTATTTTTAAATGTATTTTATTATATAATAATAATTACTGTTATTGCTTATCGTTGTCTAAATGTATTTTTACAGTCTACATATATGTATTCAGCTAGTGTAAACATGCACGATGCTATCACAGCGAATGAATGGCTGAGACTGAAGCTTTACCCTTTGTTTCCGCTGAGAGACGTGCCGCGTGACTCATTTCCCCGCGTGTTATCTTAGGTTGGCGTTCACGGTTTGACTTCTGAGATTCAGATCGAGTTCTAGGTAATTTTTTTTCAAACTGGTTGGTTCAACTTTTAAGAAATTCGAGTACTAATGAGTTTGAGAATTGAGGTACCACTGTACTTTGTCACAACACTATATGTAAACCCCGCAGAGCTGCTCAGTTATGTTCTGTACATTTATTTAACTGAGCTGGGTCTACCTGGGCAGAGTTCATGGGATGCAGTTCATCTCCATGGAAGTTTAGTTGCAGGCCCATGTCCTTTCCGGCCTGGAGAATGGTCCGGGTGGAGTGAAGGTCAAACACGCCCTTCTCACAGAATACGTCAATGTTGTCCACTTGGAGCTCACCCTTTGTCATTTTCTCCTGCAGCCGAGGGAGCTGGATGTGCACAATGTCTTCCACGGCCTCTGCCGGGGTCTTCCCCCTGCCGCAGAAATGGCACAATGGTACTACTGTAAACATGCAATTTTCTTCAAGATTAATAAAGTATCTATCTATCAATCTATCTATCTATCTATCTATGTCTTTGAGATGTTTTGTCAGGGAAAATTAATTCTTAAAAACAAGCCATGTGTAATGTCAACACCACAAAATGCATTTTTAAGTTGCATCCAGCTCGTTTGAAGTACCTGGGCACAGCGTGTGCTCCACAGTAGGTGGAAGAGATGCAAATGGGAGATGCCAAGCGAGCCCTCTCAATCACCGCCAGCATCTTCATCTCTGTCTCCAGGTCCAGCCCATAGCCGCTCTTACACTCCACCAGGGTGGTTCCGGTCCGAAGCATACGAGTCAGCCGCCGTGTCAGGTCCACCAGCAGCTGCTCCTCGGAAGCCCGGCGAGTGTGTTCCACAGTGAAGTGGATCCCACCTCCAGCCTGGTGGACCTCCATGTAGGTGGCTCCTGCCAGCTGTGGGAAGGCCCAAATCACATACCCATACAACATAATCTAAACTTTGCCACTGGTGTTGTCCTTTACTGTTATAACTGAGATCTTCTGGGATGAGAACTTAAATGTGGCATCTGGCTCTGTCACACCCTGCTCATCCGATCCTCCTGGGTGCCACGCCCCCTCATTAACCTCGTGTGGAATCCCCGTGTCATCAGCTGTTTCCAGTTGTTTTTCATTAGTCCTGTGTGTTTAAGTCTGCGTCAGAGTATGTTACCCTAGTCTTGTCATTGAAGTCGCTACTTGTACGTGTTGCCTCATGTGCCTCGCTGTTTTCGCTTAATAAATCCCGATTCTCCGTCTCTCTGCTCCTGTTTCCCCGCAAGCGATGTGACATAATGACAGAACTCCAAAAGCAGATGCACAGAAGAGGAATACCTCACTCTACTGGCTAAGATCATCTACTGGCTAAGGCGAACTGAGGTCCAGGATGACCCCGAGGCTCGGACTTTAGCCAACCGGAGCAAGGACATCCTGGAAGAGATGTCCCTGCCCGGGATGTGTACCTAGCTGAAGAGGTATGTGAAATCCTGTGGCGCCTGAGAAGCGGGGTGATCGAGGGCAAGCAAAATCGGAAAAAACTGAAGATGGAAAAAGACGCCAGAGGTCTTCCTAGGGGCCGTCTCTGTCTCTGCTGCCTGCCCTGCTGCATGTCGGGATTCTGAACCCGGCGGTGTTCGCGTCTGAGCGATCGCCTGAAGCCGGCTTTACTACCGCTTCGCTGACAACGTTGGCAGCTCGCCCCTTTCTGGGGACGCGTCTGGCTGTTACAAGGGCCAGGTTTGTTTGGGATGCCATCACGCGGGTCCCCAAGATTCAAAAAAAGGCGGCGGCCGAGGTGTAATCCCCAGCTCTGGCCACTGAGGTTCCTGCTCAGCCCCTTTGGGGTTCTCTCCAGCTCCTGCTGAGGGTCCCTCCTGCTCTGGCCTCGCGGTCGCCTGGCCATTGCCGCAGCGGCTTCCACTTTTCGCCTGCTGGGTTTCCCTTCGGCTCCCTGGTGCCCCCCGCAGTCTGCTTCCTTGCCCCCTGTGTTTGCTCCCCATCCCTCTGTGTCACATTTGTTCACCCCTGGTCCCTTTGTTCCTCCAGTTGGTGTTCCCCCTGTGTCTCCTCTTTTGGTGCCCCTCTTGCTTTTCTTGTTTGTCTGTCTTGGTTATTGCCCTTGTGTCTGGTCTGTGTGTCGGTTCTGTTCCCTGTACCCCGTTAATGTTCTTGCTTTTGTTTTCCAGGTCTCGTGTCCCCAGTCTGGTCCCTTTGCTCCCCTTGCGCACGCCCGGTGTACACGCCTTTGGGGGGGGGGGGGTCACACCCTGCTCGTCTGATCCTCCTGTGTGCCATGCCCCCTCGTTAACCTCGTGTGGAATCCCCGTGTCAGCTGTTTTCAGGTGTATTTAAGTCCGCGTCAGAGTATGTTTCCTTAGTCCGATCTAAGTGTGCCTCGCAGTTTTCCCTATATAAGTCCCGCTTCCAGATTCTTCGTCTCCCTGCTCCTGCTTCCCCGCACCCGATGTGACCGGTTCATACTTCCCTTGGAGCTGGGAGAAATATACCCGTAAACTTTAGAGTGCTTTTGACTGTTATTCCTGATCCTTGTCACACATTAAAAAAAAAAATCAACTCTTAAAATATTCAGCATTTACTCATTTAGTTATGATATAGGATCCACCCCCACCCAAAAAAGACAATTCATTTCAATGAAGTGTTCTCATTCGTTTCTATTACAATCAGACCCCCTAGTGAAGACTTTACTTTACTTCCCCCCCCGTTTATATAAATCTCAGAATTTTAATAAAGCATCGCTATTTTATTCAAATTAATGGGTTAGGTTTAAGTTTCAACACTGGTAGGAACCAAAACAGCTCTGAATCGCCCGTCCCATCCCACAACATTGGTAGGGACGTGTTCCTACCATCCATAAAAAAAACCACCACCTTGATTCAAATTAATGTTACATGTATGATGGAGGACGCCAGTGCCAGTGGAATGCATAAATGAAAGCTCATAGCCATTCGAATGAAATTGTCTGATACTCTGGTTTCTCGGTCTACCTTCATGGCGAATTCATGAACTCTGTCCCCTGCCCACACAGGGTGAGTGTGGACATCGATCAGTCCTGAAAGTAAATACATGTGCAATCAGATCTAGCCATTGTCAGGGAATACAAAGACCATAATCTACTTATCAATGCGTCCAAACCCGACTGTTTCCCAGCTTCTGTGTGTCAGGATACATGCCTGGTATGACAACCATGCCGGAGGCATCAATAACGGTGTCAAAAGATGCCCCTTTATACCGAGCGTCGATCGCGTCCACAGGGCCCACCGCTTTCAGCAGCCCATCGCTGGAATTGCAGGTAACTGGGGTTGGTATAGAATAATCCAAAAAATACATCCCCTCTACTACATTTTGCAGAGTATACATCTATAAAGGTTTCAAATTATAACCTTGCTTTAGAGAACAAATGCGGCATACCCAAAAGTACATAAATTAATAATCCCCCCCCCCCAAATAAATAACATAACATAAAATTAATCAATTTCTTCGATCTTTTCTCTTGCCACGAATATGCTGTTATTTCACTCAGCGTGTTACGATAGATTAAAACTGTAACATGCACACCGACACTACACGGAGGATTCAAATAAACAAAATAAAGCAGTGAAAGATTCAGAAGAATGAACATAGTTCTCTTACTTCCCGATAATCAAACTTCCATTCTCGACTACGGGCAATTTTTGCATTCCATCTTTGGTTAGAAATCTCTCTCCACCGTTGCAAACTAAGACTACTTGCTTCGCATTTTTAACAAAAAGACGAAAATCATTTTCATGTTTAACAGACATGGCTTGGCTTTTGAGATTTTAGTATGTAACTGATCGATGCCCGGCTAGATGAAGCCGACTGCTCGTTTTCCACTTATGCACTGGACTTTGAAGTGGGCGGGCCTTTGAGAGATTTTCATTTTGACCAACTGATCAAATTCCCTAAAAAAGCGGCATTTTGGTTTTACAAAAAAAAAAACAAAAAACAAAAAAAAACATCTCTTTATGAATAACAGTACTACTTCAATACAGCAACTAAATCTACTATTTTTCTATCAACTATTTCCAAGAGCAGATATAACATGAGCGACTGCCAAATTTTGAAATAAACTATAAACGAATGCAAATCCCTGTGGGTAAAGACCGGAGATTGAGTAAGTGAAGCGAAAGTTATACTATCCGAACGGTATCCGAATGTCTATTTCGAAATGAGCGGTGGGTAGATTAATGAGGCCGCTAAAATATACTTACAGTGCCATCACTGGGCCATTATGAAATCGGAAGCATAACTATATGGTGCAAGCCTAGTGCATAGTTACTTTTTTGAATGATATATATTGAGTTACACTTTGATTCGCCCATTTGTTCAAGCACGGTGCAGGTACATTTTCTTTTACTTTCACAGATACCGTTCATTCTTTCCTATGGCACGCACATATATAAATTAACTTTCCTCGGAAACAAAGATAATTCAGGAGCCCTGGGCAACTGCCTATTCTGCCTATAGCTAAGGGTCGCCCTGTATACAGGTAAGAGCACAGGGTCAGCCATTTATCTGGTATCACTGGAGCAACAATTATATGATTACTCTGCTGTGAACAGGATTCAAACCGGCGACCTACAGGAATGTATACTGTCCAAATGAGCCCAATGGACACATTCCTTCTCTCTAAATAAAATCAGGTGAGGTGTACAGGTAACACTTTTATCTTGCCAGCAATGACAAAAACTTTTAGTTTAATAAGTCTTTTTTATTGTTTCATGACAATGGATCCATTGTTTACATCTGCAACAGTATGCTAGACAGTCCTGTCTCAGCAGGACCATGCATTACTGTTTACCACAAACGTAGCAGGGAAGATCTTAGACTAATAGAAAGACAAGGCATTCTGACTGGAAGTCAGTTCTAACTTAAGGTGCTACACTGATAATATAATGTGTTTGACAATAACAACACTTGAACAAAGCAAGTAATTGTGAAGCTACTCCATCCATCCTGTCTCATAATAATCTTCTCTTTATTGGGATATGCAGAAGTCACTGCAAACAGCAGGTTCATACAAATATTTTCAGTCTCATCTCAGCTTTTCTAAAATACAATTTTCCATTGAAAAACAAACATGGTATTTGCTAAGAATATCAACTCTAAAACTACTTTGATTCCAAAATTAACCATTAAGAATGATTCAGAATCCGTGAGGTTTCACATGATTCAGCTGATGTTTCCTTAACCTTCCCAATGATTTATACTCCCTTCCACAGGTATCACAATCATACGGTTTCTCTCTTGTGTGAATTAGCTCATGCCTCTTTAAGTGTCCCAACCTCCGGAAACTTCTCCCACAGTAAGTACAGCTTTAGGGCTTTCCCCACTATGCTCTCGTTCATGTGCCTTAAAGCTCCCTAACTGTCGGTAGCGTTTCCCACAAAGATTGCAGGTACAGTATATGGAGTTTCTCCTGTGTGGATTCGCATGTGTACTGTTAAGTTTCCCTGAACAATGAAACGTTTCCCACACTCACTACAAGAGTGCGGTTTCTCGCCTGTGTGAATTCGCTGATGTTCTTTTAAGTTTCTCAGTCGGATGAAACTCTTTCCACATTCGACACAGGTGTGTGGTTTCACTCCTGAGTGCAGAAGCAGGTGCTCCTTAACACTCTCTGGCTGTCGGTATCCCTTCCCGCAGACCGCACAGACATGTGGTCTCTCCTCCGTGTGGGTCCGCTGGTGTGCTTTTAGGTGCTCAACTTTACGAAAATTCTTACCACACTCTATACAGGAGTATGGTTTCTCACCAGTGTGAATTCTACTGTGAGTCTTTAAGTTACTCAAGAAAGTAAATGCTTTTCCACAGTCAGTGCAAACATATGGCTTTTCTCCTGTGTGAACTCTCTCATGTTTTCTTAAACTGTTTAATAAACTGAAACCCTTTCCACATGCAGCACAGAGGTGCTCCTTCTCTCTGGTATGAATGAAACGATGCACTTTCAATTTGTGTGGAGTAGCAAAGCATTTTCCACACTCACTACACTGATATTTTTTCAGGACTGTTTGTATTTCCTGCACCGTGTCTGGATTTTCTATTGATACATTTCTTTTAACAACACACCAATTTTCCACACTGTAATGTTCACTGAAATTCCCAGCTCATATTACAGTTAGAAGTGATTTCTTGTCTGATTCTATCTTTACTGTGTCTGAAGCAGAATGAAGATTGTCAGGCTCTATTTTCACAATATCCTTTTCATCAGAACCCATTTTTACTTCCACAGCAGTGTACTCATAATACTCATCATCACTGATGTCCTCAGTCTCAGACTTTGACAGAGTAAAAAAATCCAGAGACCTTATCTTTGGGAAGTGTCATTATCTCTGTGAAGAATTTGCTAGGCTCCTGGTCAGCAAAATCTTCCATGGAATCCCATGCATGACAATCTGTTTTAATTTGGGAGGATTTAAAAATGGGTAAAACATCCTGGTCTGCAGGGGTGAAGGACTACATCTTAGACTGATTGGAAAGACATGCAAACTTTAGTCTAATGTGTCTGTAGCTACTGGTCTGGTGTAGTGACCCTCAGACAGCCTCTGTTACACAGATGACATTTAAGACTCTCAGCCATCCCAGCTGCTCAGAGGGAATCTAGGAAAGAGATTGAAACGTGATGGTTTAAAACAGGAATGCAGACTGGGTGCAGAATTTAAATTTCCCTAAATTACTTGCAATCTTAAATTAGCAATGGTTATCTTTTTGTTTGTTTGAAAAATCTAAATGCATTCCACATTAACAGTATTTCACTCTATTTGAATAGTTTTTTTCAGAATCAGTAACACTTCACAATTTTTTTCAAAATTTTTCAAATTGAACAAGTAGCTAAAATATTAATTAAAACTATGGCAAAATTATACCAAAAAGGACCACTCCCCTTGCCTTACATCAACCCTTGAATAACAAAATTAAATAACATGATTAGTATGAAGTCTGTACCACTAAGCAAAAGACAGACAACCTGTTGTCCACCTTTTACCAGTTTCAAAATAGTATGGGAGTGAAAAATTCCTAACTCAAGTTCAATTTAGACACCTGTAAAATCCGCTGAGTTTAGCAAATTCATGATAAAACAAATATTCAATGCCTAATTAATATCTTCAAATATAAACGTCCATCACCAAAAATGTCTCAGTTGCCTTCTACAAGATAAGGCAAAACTAAAAAAATAAGACGAACAATGCCTTAAATCAGTGCCGTGAGCTTACCTTCAACGTAGTTATCAGTAGTTGCTAAATATGTTTCTATTTTTCTGAGGGAGGGGGGTGTGTGTCTACTGTCTAGTGTCTACCCGATACGTCACGAACTAGTCCGGAAGGTTTATGACGCACATCCGGTTCCGGCGCAGATATTTTGCGTAGTCCATATTTACAAAATACGCCCATCAGCCGGTGTGCACATTTTTAGCGAAATGAACAATTCAGGTTTTATTGCATGTATTTCTATTTTTCCGTAGGCCTTCGAGAAATCAGAAGTTCCTTAAATTTGATAAAGTTTACCATATGTTGTTTTTGCTGAACTGATTTTATTTAGTAAGTTTGCCGAGCCCGTGGGCTTTGTTATTTACTGTTTGTACACTGGATTTTTGTTGTGAATATTAAAAGTAATTTTCCCTCTGAACATTTCGAACTGACCGTTTTTTCAACTGTGAAGTAAGCAGCACAGACCTGGGTACATTACGGATTGAGATTTAATAATAAAATAATTAATGCTGCGAGATTTATGAAGTATTATAGATCGGGTGGGGCAGCTCTGCTGCCTCTAGGGCAGTGGTTCCCAACCTTTTTTAACTCACGGCCCACACAGCCAAACACGTATGTTTCCGCGGCCCACTGCAAAAGAATTTAAACGATCCCGCTTTTTGTGTCGGGTTAACTAAGTACTCGGAAGCAAGGCTGTTAATTGTCTTTATTGAATAAACTGGTAATGTATTGAATAAACAGAAAATATACATAATGGATCAGCAAACCCCCACAGGCTCGGGTTGACATTTCGAAAACGGGAAAACGAAATCCAGGCAGAGGTCGGATTTGTTTCCAACTTAACCAAGTGCCGTCGTAGTTTGATTGGTTTTAAAGCTTCATTTGACAGTATTTCTGAGCACACAACACAGAGCGGTAGCTGCTCGTTCTCTGCTCCAACATATGTGAAACCTAGCGCTAGGTAGTCGCTACTATATTTTCTTCGTTTAGGTTTATTTTGAGGCTTTTCAGTGTCAGGCTTACTTGTTGCTGAAGAAACGTCTGTATTTTTTCTTTTCAGCGATCCTGTTGTCAACCATTTATCCATTTTTAAATCTGCTTCAGCATGTTTGAATCAAAACTATTTTAGATAGTCTAGGTATGTCACAAAATATTTCAAAGTTGTTGGATTTTTACAAAAATAGTACCAGAAGAAAGGGCTTGATAAGACCTTTCCAATGATACCAAGAACTTCTTTCTGTGATGAATGGCAAGAAAGTTATAGGATATTTTGTAACGCCAATTAAGGCTTTTTAACGTCCACTTAGTAACAGATAAAACAATGGAGAACCATATTTGACTTTGTGACCTGTTTATGGTGTTCAGAAAAATGAGCATAACTCTGTTATT